ATTTTTCTTCTTTTTCTAATATTTTTCGGTTCAGTTTGACAAAAATCTGAGTGTATTAAATGCACCTTCCCTGAAAGTCCAAAATTCCAGCCATTACCGCCATCAGTAACTACTTGACATACTACCTAACTGACAGCGTGGATTTTAGCTTGAAAATCTGGGATTTGAATCTCAAAAAATCTAGGATTTGAATCTCAAAAAGCTTTATAAATAGAGCTTATTGCCTGTATAAAAAAAAAGAGCAATCGATTAAAAAAATCCTAGAAGCCTTACAAAAAAAATCTACTAGATTAACAAAAAAACTTTATGTCAAAAAAGCCAAACAAACACAAATCACGTAAAAGAAAAACTCAGCCTTTGAAAATGAAGACCTCAACACAAAAAAAAAAAAAACACAAACATAAAAAAAATTTTGGCTGAACCTTTCAGGCTAGATCTATGCTGTTTGGAGTTTATTTTCGCAAAACCAGGCTTAGATCTAGAATCTGAAGGCTGTGGGGAGCATTTTGGTGTTTTCTTGTAATTTTTTTACACCAGCGACAACGATTAGAGCTTGCCGATAATGAGGAAAGCGGTCGTCGTCAAGGCGGACAGTCACCGGCCTTAGATCGATCAATAAAAAGGGGAAAATAATAGTGTTTTTTTTTTTTTAAGAAAAAGGGGAGAAATGACTAAAATTTTTTTTTGGACTTTTATATAAGCTGCCAATAGCCAAAACGATGCTGTTTCAATAAAGACCAAAACAACATCGTTTTAGCCCTTGAAGATCCACGCATCAACCCGTAACCCGATCTTGGGTCCATGCACCCGACTCACAACCTGCTTCTCCCTCAACCTCTTATCGATCTAGCTAAACCGACCCAGACCGAACTATACCGGCGTTCAACTATCAAACCAACCAGACCAATCCAAGCTATCGAACCGATCGGACCTACGTTGATCTAATTGTTGACCAGTCTGGTTCAGGTAAAAAAAATTTTTTTGAATTTTTTATATATTATTTTTATAATGTTTATACATATTAAAATATTTAAATTTGTTAGACTAAATTTTATTTTGTAAAAATTCTTTATAATTTTGATAATTTTAAAATAAAATAAAAATAAAAATAAAACCTTTTAATAATAATAAATTAAATAAAAATGTAAGAAAAAAAATTTTTATCTGACGATTAGATTCAAATGTACTTCGAGTAGTGATACTTACGAAATCTCTAGTTGAGAAGAGTTTTTTAAAATATTACCAGTGTATGAAGTATTTATAAAAAAATTTTCAATACAATAAAAAATATCTTTTTTTTTGTTATAAAATAGTAAATAAAAATTAATTAATAAAGTAATAAAATGATAAAAAAAAATAAGAAAAATAAAATTTTATCCGATGACGGGATTCTAAAAGTATTTCAAGTAAAGATGCTTTAAGAAATCTCTAGATAAGAAGATTTTTTAAAATATTATCAGTTTATTGGAATAATTATAGAAAATTTTCAATATAATAAAAAATTTTTTCTTCAAAGTTTTAAATAAAATCAATAATAAAATGTATGCATTAACATATTAGTATTTTTTTGCATTGCATGCACCACATGATTTTTACAAAAAATAAATTTGAATATCTGATGATAAGATTTTAAGGTATTTCAAGAAGCGATGCCTAATAAATCTTTATGTGAAAAATTTTTTTTTTAATATTATCATTGTACTTAAACATTTTAAGAACTATTTCAATAAAAATGTTCTGATTTATTTTTCTTCAATAAAATTTGAACAATAAATATAAAAAATAATAAAAGAAAAAAAATCAAAATTTCAATAAACAAATAAAAAAAAATTTCAAACACCAAAAATAAGATTGTTTTTATCAAAATTAATTGATAATACATAATTAATTAATACCATTTTAAACAAACGTTGTGAGGGTGCTAATCATTACACATACGTAACCAACTCTCGAATCTATCATGTTTTGCAGACCCTAAAATTATCATTTTAATAAATTTTAATTAATTTGAAGATTTTGTTAAAAAAAATATGTTTTAATAAGTGATCAATCATATCTAATAAAAAAATAGTGATAATTTTATTTTTTTTATTTTTAAATTCATCGGACGAACACAAAATTATTACCACAAGATTAACTATCAATTATGGTACTCCATCACGTATTAAAATTATTTGTTCCACCAAAACGTTCAATCGCAAGCTTTGCAACCCATCCTATAAGATTGCAATTACTTGTTCTTTTTTCTATCTCTCTTACGTCACGATTATCATACGCAATAGCTCTCTCTCGCACTCTCTTTCAAGGTGTCTTTCAGCTCTCAAAACAAATCTCACTTAACCTAAGCATAAGAACATATTTATAAGTGCAAAAAAAACCCGAAATTAATTTATCAAAGTATAAAAATTAACTAACAAACAAATTTATCTAAATAAATTTAAGTAAAAAAATCTAACAAAAAAATAGTAAGTATATCATATAAGCTATATAGAAAAAAAATTTTCTTTTAATGTAATGGCCACTTTTAAAAGAAAAAGTCAAAAGCTTTCATTACCAAAGAAAAATTAAAAAAATAAAAAATAAATGCATCCATCAAATAGAGGCTTAGTTTAAGATTTGTCTAGATTCCATTAATACTTTCATATACTATTAGAAATTATTGATTCTATGCTTTCTTATCATTTGCCAAAAAAAAAAAAAGACAATTAAAAGAATCAATTGGAGAGCTTAAATATTATTACTATGTAGAAATATTTAAATTAACTTGTACCCTATATTTCTTCTTTTGCTGCAATTTTTCTTGCCCCGTCAATAGACAAGTGATTGAAGACAAAAATTCCAATATTGGGAAGCTACTTAAATGTTGTCACAAACTTGACTTTGTTGAACAATAAATTGCACATTGATGGCCCTCATTCCTTCTATCAATCCCATCCGCGTGATATTTTGGCATTAAAGAAATGCTCCCTAATTACGACATCAGACATTTCCCTCAAATTGTGTGGCCTTTTTCTAAGCTCATTAGTTGATCAAAAATCAATTTCATATTATTTTAACTTAGTGCAATTCACATTCTAGCTTTAATAATTGAAATGGTTTCTTAAAAGAATGTTAATCCAACTATAAGTTTTTTTTTTTTTTTTTATGTTTTTGCCCAACTAATACTGATTCAATCGATAAATAATTTTGGATTTGAATCTTACATATGATTATTCTTTGATGTTAATCTTATCTTGACTTGGTGGTCTAAATTTATCTCAAATTGTATATACCAAAGAACATTAATGTTGAGATAAAATATAAACATAAGTAGGTGATAACATTCGAACAATAAAACCTAAATTCATGAAGGTGCACGATCATATTCTCCCCTTGGATTATGGGGAGTCCCCATCTGAAAACCGTACAAAAACGAATCTTTTTTATTTTTGTGCTTTTTCTTTATTATTATTATTATTTTGGTTCTATGATCTTTCCTTACTCCAAACACGTGTGCCCATTTTTTCTTTGCTCATTAGTGTCTATTTAATAAGAAAAATAAAAGGAAAGGAAAAGGCCTATCCACTTTAACCAACTCATTACACTTAAAGACCTCCTTCCAAATGGGTGTCAATTACTATATTTTTAGTAAAATTATTGTCTTATAAAAATAATAATAATAATAATAATAATGATAATTAAAGGTACTGTTGGATAGAAGGACATTTGTCACCTATAGTATTAGTTAAATTTGACAATTTGACAATTTGTATATTTATATTTTTTTATTTTATATTTAATACGTATAAAATATAAAAATTATTATGTCATTTTTTTGTCAACAACTTAAATATATTAGATTTTTTTTATTTTTTTATTTTTGTTAAATTCATACAAAATTTTTTTATAATTTAAAACCATATTCAATTCATTTATTTATTTTTTTTATCATTTTCATATCTTGTCTCATTTACATACTTAGAATTATTAGGTCTAATATTAGCTTAGGGATCAAATATTATTTATTTTATAAATTTGATTTTGAGATTATAAAATTATAATATTCATCTATAAAAAATAATATTTTTTAATTACATAAATATGTTTTCATAAAAAATTACTAATAATTATAGTCATGGATGATGAGATTTTTTTTAAATTTAATAAGCAATAAAGGGAAAAAATTAAATAAACCAATGAGTTTAATGGCAATTTTGATTCCAACTCTTACATTAACATGCAAAATCTAATGTATGAAAATAACTAGCAAAAATGAAATACTAAAATGTTTTAAAACTTTGGGTTTTCTTTTTGAGACGAAAGTTGTGCTTTTTGGTTTTGCCCAAAAAAGGCCAAATGCAGAGAACCTTCATTTGGATCACTGTTTCAATTTTCAATCATAGTCCATCCCACGTAGAAGCCAGATCCCTATTTCACACAAGCACCGGAAAAAAATATATAACATTGATAATTTAAATTATGATCTAATTTTTAAAATAAACAACTAATTATTATTATTTTTATTTTAATCATTAAAATTTGAATAAATTTTTTTATCATTTAACTGAAATATTTAACGATGTACGAACATAATAATATCACATAAAATATCTGATATCATATAATATTTATTCATTAATAATATCACATGATATGTAAGATATCTATGTAAGATGATAAAATAATGTCACATGCTATTTATCAGTACATCATTATAGATTATTATAATTATTATAATTATTAGTTGAATGATTAAAAAATTATTTATTTAAACTTTAATAAATTAATTACAAATTTAAATTAAAAAACCATTTTAAAAATAAACGAGCAAGAATATATTTTACCAAAGAAAAAATATATAAGCATTACCACAACAAAACCATAAACAAGACGTATAAGCCAAAACGCAACCAACCATCAAAACTATAAGTATTAATACAACAAACCAAAAACAAGATACATAAGCCCAACCCCAACAGTCAAAACTATCTTTCTCTCCCCCAACATTCTCTTCCTATCTGTCTCTCCTTTTTGTCTTTTATTCTTCTCTCTCTGAAATGGAGAATCCTTCATCTTCACCACCATTTCCGCCTGAGTTGGATTTAGAAAACCTTAAAGCCATCAAAATCTTAGGCAAAGGAGCCATGGGCACTGTCTTTCTCGTCCACGACACATCTACCGACCCCACCGCTCGTTCCCCTTTTGCGCTCAAAGTTGTCCAAAGATCCAAACATGATGCGGACCGTCGAGCCCGCTGGGAAATTGGGGTCTTGACAAGGCTATCCATGCCCGACCCTTCTCTTCACCACCCATTTCTCCCTCGTCTTTTGGGTCGTCTCGAAACCCCCGAGCTTATTGCTTGGGCTGTCCCTTACTGCCCTGGCTCCGACCTCAACGTCCTCCGTTACCGTCAGAACGACCGCGTTTTCTCCCCTGCTGTTATCCGATTTTACCTGGCTGAGATCCTCTGCGCTCTCGAGCACCTGCATTCCCTGGGCATTGTTTACCGAGATCTCAAGCCTGAAAACATCCTCATTCAACAGTCAGGTCACGTAACTTTAACGGATTTCGACCTTTCACGCAACTTAAAGAAGAAACAATTATCAGAAATTTTAACTGACGACAAAAAGGGCCAGAATCCATTGCCTGAAATTCATGTTCGACGTAAATATCGACGAAACTTTATTCGATGGATCCCCGTTGTACCTGATAATAATTATAGCAAGGCTTTGAAGAAAGCGAAATCAGCCCGAGTCAGCCCAGTGAGTAGACGAAAGCTCAGTTTCTCAAACGGGGAACGTTCCAACTCGTTCGTGGGCACCGAGGAATACGTGTCACCTGAAGTAGTACGCGGAGATGGACATGAATTCGCCGTCGATTGGTGGGCTCTGGGAATTCTAACCTACGAATTGCTGTACGGGACGACGCCGTTTAAAGGGAAGAATCGGAAAGAGACGTTTCGAAACGTTTTATCCAAAGAACCAGAGTTCATGGGACAAGGAAACGCGTTGACGGATTTGATCGGACGGCTACTACAAAAGGATCCAAAAAAGAGACTCGGATACCACGGAGGCGCGTGCGAAATAAAGGAGCACGTGTTCTTTAAAGGGGTCAGTTGGGGCCTCTTGGCGCAGATGTTACGGCCGCCGCTTATTCCGTCAAGAGACAACGGTGACTTGACGGAAAAAGTAACATCTGGACAAATAGATATAAGGGAATATTTCCAGAGTTTGAAGGCTCCGTTGTCAATGCCACCATCACCACTACCATCGCCGTCATCAGAGCAAAGACAGAACGTTTCCTTCACGGAGTACTAACGCACGTGTGAGAGTTTGTATGCACACATGCAAGGTTCAGTTAGATAAATTCCTTATTTTACTTTTTATTTTGTAGTGTCCATAAAATAGCGGTAGAAACGTGAAAATGGCGGAGATTTGGGGTATAAAGCCATTAGAAATTGTTGTACTATACAATTGTTTATACGGTTATGAAACTTGTTGATCAGTACTTTTCTCCGGTTACAACTTTATAACTCACGGTACGTGTCATCCACGCGCCGGCATGCGATACGCCAAAAAATTGTTTTGAAAAAATTGTTCTTTTTTTCTTAAAAAAAAGAACTTGGTATGAAAGAAATTCTTGCATTTTTTTATAGTAATTCCAAAAGAAACTTTAGATTAAAGGTGAAGGCTTTTACTTTGTATGCATATAATTAAGTACATAATGAATGGTGAGTTAATTATTTTTTTAATTATTAATTAACAGATAATTGAGTTGAATGAAAAATGAGGAATTTGGAATGGAAAAAAGGTGTTGATGCATATTAAGCTTAAAGATGTCGGATTAAAGCGGGCTCGAGAGTTTAAATGGAAATCATTAATTCGTCCGTGTTGCCGAAAGGTAATAATGGAAATACTGTTGATTCCGTGAGGAATGGTAGCTAATTCATCAATTAATTCCACTATTCTTATCAAAATCAAATCAAAATAATTACTAACAAGAAAAAGCAACACTTGCCTTCCATCTCTCAAATGGCACGTGGTGAACCTCCTAGATTTTGATTACTCAAATTATTAAAAAAAAAAAACTATGAATCCATTAATTTCATCTTGTTTTCTTCAAAATAAACTATCCCAAATGCAGTCATAAGAGAAAGAAGAGATTGGAAAATGAACAGAGGAAGGTGACAATGTAAAGACAAATGACATTGTATTTATATATATATATATCGTACAATCCTTATTTTTACACTTTTAATGGAAAAATTTTACTAGTGAAGTTATTACAGATATATGCACCATATTGAAAGATATAAACTTTCTTGGCTTTTAAATTCAAATGCCATCAATAAGGTTAAACTTTCTTTCTCTATTAAATTGAAGTAATTTTACTCATCCTTGAGTTCAATCAGGTTATCGTTTAATTTGATTTTTATTTAAGTACTTTGTCATTAAAAACTTCATGAATTCTATCTATTCAATTTCATCTAATTATGCAATGCTCTAAAGCTTATTACATGAAAACCATCTTTCGATCAAGCAAAAAACAACAATATAGTGCACTAAGAAATGCAGAAGGAAGTAATTACTTGGTGTTGATTTAATTGTCATACAATCAGTCTGTCTATGCTGTGGTGTGCATCATCAGGTGGCCGGAGCAGCTAAAACTGGAACTTGGTTTCCAAAACGCAAATAAAATTGACTATAAATTATTTCAATTGTCGGGTATTTTAAGGTTGTTTTTGTTGTCAAAATTTCCCGTCGCTATGACTCAAAGGTCCCCTCAACACAAAGGAACAAATGGACTCTTTGTCATTAACTTCTTTCTTGGCATTGGCTCTTTGCAATTTAATCACTCTGCAACAAACATTTTGGTCTCCCCCTTCTGAACAGGGAAAGAAAACAGCTTATAGGGTTGCCCTTGCCTTTCCTTCTTAAAACAACAATTAATAGATGTCCCATTACACATTTTTATTTTTCCCTATGAAAGCCTGTAGGTATTGCTTTCTCTTCTTGCCCATCAAAATTTGACTTGGCCCCTTCTTTGTTTAGAAAATAAATGTAAAGGTAATGACCCTTAACCTGTCTCTTTAAAAAAAGAGGTGAATAATGGAAATTTTTAATGTATTAGGGAAACATAACGTTAAAAGAGATACCGAATCAGTAAACAATAAATTTAACTATCAAGTGGCTTTAATTCGTTGCAAAAAAAAAAAAAAACTAGTGTATTGGAATTCCGGAAATAAAAGAAAAGGTTGAGCGAACCCCCACAATAACACACGCTGGACCACTAAACCCAAAGCTGAAAAACAATGGCATGCTTTAAAAGCTGTGGTCACGAGCAATGCTGATTGCATGTTTTCATTTATTTGCATGGACTTTGTCCCATGCTTTTGATCCAACCCTGTCACCAACGTCGCTATAACTTGACGTATAGGAATAGTATGCAAACAAAACAATTTATAAACAAATCATTTTTTAATAATAATGGGTTAAGCCAAATAGTTCAAAATTCTAAGAGTTAAGACGAAAATAATGACAATATATATGTTTAAATAATACTTCTTTCGTGTCATTGTTTTTGTTCATATTTTGTGGTAAGGAATTATTTACGAAAAGCAATATATAATACATGTTTATTGTTTTTAATTCAGTGAAAACGATGTATTAAATGCATATACGTCTCTTTAAATAGCATTTTAACTATTTTTAAACAGTATCCACTTTCATATTAGAATCTACCTTTACCGATGAAGTATTTAGTTTAGACTGCAACATTTTGTCATAGATTGGCCAAGGGGTCTTGGATTTATGAATTTCCAATGCCCTTTTGGGGTTAATTAACATGCGGCCGGGGTCAAAGTAACTTTAAAGTTTCACCTTTTAATGGCTGCCTTAATGAGATCTAGGCCATGGCTAATGAGCTTAATTAGTTTTCTTTTTCAAAGCTAAAAATTGTCCTTTTTGGTCGGTTCCAAGGGCACCAAACCCACTTTAAATGTTGAAAATAAGGGTTCAAGTTCACTAGTTCAGGGCCATGTGGTTGAGTTGAACATTTTCAATATGTCATCTTTGCTTTAGGTATATTTTACAAGCACCCATATATATATATATATATATATGTATGTATATTTGATTTTTTGTATACTGATGACACATGATGATTAACATTTACATTTGAAAAAGTCAATGTATACGTAAAAATGGTCACATAAATCTTAATTTCAATACAAATAAATTTATAAACTTGAAAATGCAAACACAGGTAACATTAGGAAATGATTGTTGGGAAGGTAATTAAGTTTAATTTTCAAGGTTAAAAGCTTTTGTGATTGTGGGTTAAGCTTAAAACTTAAAGGCTTTTATTGCAAATTTCTTCGTGGGACCAGGACGACCATCACTACTTTCAGTTGAATACACTAGCTCTTTTTCACCTATGCTATTCTCAAAAGCAAATTTGGAAATTTTTAAAAATGATTTAGGTTATGAATGGTTTATAAATTATAATAAAATATTTAATATGATACTTAATTTAAAATTTTTTTAATATAGTATATAAATTATAAATCAATTAATTAATATAATATTTATCTTTAACATGATTAATTTCAAATGATGATATATATTAAGTAAATAACTCTTCAAGTACCATAATAATTAACAAATTCATAATTTAAATATCAAATTAAAAATTTTTAAAATTTAAATATTATATTTAATAGTTTATTATAATTTAAAAATCAACGATGTGTTATCCCTTTAAAATTATATATATTGGGCTTTTCTTTCCCAACCAGTCTTAGACCCCTAAATCTTGGTTTCAAAACGGCAAGATTAGTTGTCTATATTTGTACTTAAATCCAAGCTGAAAACCTATTAGGCCCAATTTCTTAAGCCCATGTAGAAACACGAAATATTGCGAGTTGTTGGATTATTCCTCAATATATTAGTAGAGTTTTCGTATGTTTAAGAATTAAAACCTACTTATATAACAGTTAGTTGTTGTAAAATTTATTAATTTTTTTAAATACTCTAATGGCATATTTAACAATTCTAACTTTTTTTTAGAGTTTAAAAACTCTTATGCAACCTATTTATATAACAATTCTTAAATTTATATATATATATATATATGATAGTTGTCATAACGTACAAGTCTTTATGTTTATTGCTAGATATAATAAGAGGAGTCGTCATAATTTTTTTTATTTAAGTGTAATTAACTCACTAAGTGAATCTGTTTCATTTTAAATAGTAATCCTAAATTTGATTTAAGTATTTTAAAAGAATAATTTATAAAATCAGATAAGATATGAAAGTACAATTATGTATAAAGAAAATTATAATATTTTTATAATGCCAATCATAAATATAGTACTAGTTGATTTCATGTTAGTAAGTAATTTTAATATTGAAAATTATCCTTAAATTACTTTAATATGTTGATAATAATTTTAGAACATTTTCTCATCTTAAAAGTATTTAAGGAGATTATTTATCAGACTTGAAAAGATATTATCATTGGATTTATTAATATTCTCTAAAAACTTCTTAATTCATAGTAAGTGAATTTTTTTTACGAAATTCTTGATAATGAAAATATTTTCTAAATTTTCAATATATTGATAAAATTTAGAAATAATTTTTCACTTAAGAATTTATACAAAAATTATTATTTGTAACATTTTTAATAATTCAATTATCGGAAGATTCAAAACTTATAAGAATGCAAATATAAATAATTATTACTATTTAATTATTTATTTCTCAAAATTTTTTAATATGTTGGTAAAATTTTTTATATTAAAAAAATATCATCTAATATGTTGGTAAGATTTATAAAAATTATTTTTTCAAATAATTTTTAAATCAAATAAGATTTTTCGATATGTTGGTAAAATCTTATTTAAGAATTTTAACATTATAAAACATTCCAATATGTTGGTAGGTTTTTTCTTAAATGCAGTTTATTTTGACAAAGAAATCATTTTTAAAATTTTCAAACCCTTCAATATGTTGGTAAAGTTAATATATTAATAAGGCTTATTTTTATTTTTTGAAAGATTTATTTTTCTAGAAATATATTTTACTTTAATATTCAAATAAATAAAAGAAATAGAAAAATAAAAAAAACCTAAATTAATTCGGCTTGACTTGAAAGGTAACTCAGCTTGACTTCACATTGATTTTGTGACTTGAAGGCTTGGTGACTCAGCTCAGTTCAATGGCTTAATAGTATATCAAAGTAACGGATCATAGGTCAGCTGCGATCAAGTTAGGTCAACATGTGGGTTGGCACGTGCGTTCCCTTTCCCTAACGACATCATTTTTGACAAATATAAAAGGTAAGATTTTCCATTTTCTTCACTTTTCCTTTCTTCCCACTATAATTCTTTCCCTTCTCTTTAGCTTCAAGATCTATAGTTATCAAAAAACCAACAATTCTCAAATTCCAATCAAATCTCTAGATTTCATCCTTATTAAAACCAAAAAGTCATAAAAAAGTTCAAAGTTCATCGAAAAATGGTTAGAATATTCAAAGTCGCTAGAAATTCCAAATATCATCGAAAAGTTTTGTAAAA